GAACACCAGTGTAACCCCCACGCGGCCTAGGTATCGCCGCGCCCACCTGTCCGCGGCGCGGCCTCTGATGGCGTATCGGATCATTGATGGTGCGATACATGTTTTGGTCAGATTTTCGCAATTAACGCGGAAAATTGCCCAAAACACTTTTTAAATTTCAAAATTGAAAAAAAAATAATAATTACAAAAATGATATGAAAGTGACCGTTTTCAACGTGTAAATTTAAAACGCTCTAGCGCAGCCATTTTTGAAGAAATCGACTTCAAATTTTGCACACGTGTTCATCAACCATATTTGTTTAACCATAGACCACTATATATCTATATATAGTGGTCTATATAGTGGTCTATGGTTTAACATATATTTCGGTTTTGTGAAAATTTTGAAAATTTCTTATATTTTTCTCTTGAGAAAGAGGTAAAGCTTCGCTACGATCGGCCTTCCGATCGACCGAGAAGATTCGTAAAGTTAGTTCGTATCTTCACCATTTGCGATACAACTTGCGTATCTACTTAGACTACGATGTGATGGATCCCTCCAATATCTGTTCCGATTCAACTTACGTTTGATCGCAACTGCGAGGTGCCTTGCGATCACATGGATCCCCCCAGCCATACTTGTTGGCTATTGAGTGAAACCTCTGAGGGTCAAAGGATTTTGTCATATGCCCTCGGGCTACAGAGATACAAGCCGCTAAACTTCTGCTTTTTTAGCAGGATTGGACGTGTATTGCAATCTTGAAAGATCTATAGCTTGAACATTTTCGAAGCTATTAATTTCAAACATACTGAAACGTGTACATAAGGAGTTATGCTAGTTAAATTTGGCAATTTTAACATTTGTTGGTGATTTTGAATTTATTTTATTTTGAATTATTTTCTTAAAATCTAATTTGTGAAAAATGGGTAGCCTTCGATTTTGCTCAAATTTAGATATTGTCATCCACTACACGAAAGGCATACGTGCTGAGAAAATTAGAGTGGGCCAACGATAACTTTGGATGATATAGCAACAAGTAGTGCAACGTAGCACGGCGATGGAAGGGGCGGATTTCGCCAACCCCACCTATTTTTCGCCAATAACTCACGCCATAATTATTATATTGACGTCAAACTCTCAGCATCTGTCCAGAATTGAATTGCAAATCCTCCCGTGCAAGCAACAGGTAAATCGCTCCACAACTTTTCTAGTAATAGCGGTGTAAAGTCAAACATCTTGCCGGAGCGGCGCGGCGGCCGGCGCCGGCCGTTGCCGCCTGAATGGTAGACTGTGCCGGCGCGGGACGGTTCCATCTTTGCACTGCGCTTCTTACCGCTGATTATGATCGATTCGTGTCAAATTTTGTGTGAAGGCTTAAAAATGTACAGGCAATCTAATGGTAAAATAAATACGAAATCAACTGGTAAGAATTGAATTATTAGGGACAGGGTGCAAACTGCAAACACAATCTGTGACTGAAACGTTTCCCACGTCGGCCGATCCCCGCCTTTGCCGGCGACATCTTACTCTCAGCAGGCACTAAGTGCCAAATTTATGGTTAGATTAACTAGAGATTCTCATAACACTACAAATGTCGTATAAATGAAGAAATAGGAAAATCGGCCAGTAACTCTTAGAACTATGGGCGTATAAACGCAAAATAGTCACTATAGCAAATTTCATCACGATTAGGGGAAGTTGGGGGAACGCCGAATACTTTTTTTCTGACGCCCGTAGCACGCAAGGTAGACAACATAAGCTATTCTTGTTGGCGTCATTCGAGAGGCCAGTCTTTTGTCTTTCAAACATACCAGGCGCATTTGATGAATTCGCATACCGTTAAGCGCACAAACTAAAAATATCAAAGAAGTGACTTTTTCGGCGTTGCCCCGGACTGCCGGGAAAGCCGAAAATGGGATAAATGATCTACGAGGAATGCTGACATTGATGTTTTGCCAATTTATCTCAAACTTTATCCGAAAGCTGACACGCGTTTTAAGAGCTTGAGGACGCTTGGTGCACACTGGAAGTTATAATTGTGTGATATAGTAAAAAATGCTAGGCCGTTGTGCCGGCTGAAAGTGTAATTTGTTTGACTAAAAATACGCGTTGCTATTCTACAGCAGTAAAGTCCACGTAGCGTGCTTTAACGTGCGTAATTGCACGTTTTCGGCATTACCCCAGCCAGCCATACTTTCATTTGCAGGCCCATAACTTTTAAACGTGCTGTATAAATTTCAAATAGGCAGCACACTTATGCAAAGACATGCTGAAGATTACTTGACCGAATTGGCCAGACAAACGGTAGCATAATGAGTAAGAAATGCAGCTTCAAAGGCGCATGTAGTACAATGGAAACGTACCTTGAAAACGCTTTTGGCGCCCTCACAGCCGAAGTATTCCAAATGACAACTCGTAACAAATATGCGATAATTGTAGTCACTTAAGCTTCAGAGCATCACTGAGACGTGGCATCCATGTCGTACGGTTTTAGAAATATCTCGAATTTCGGCTTTGCCCCAACTCCGGCATTGCCCCAACTTCCCCTAACCTTATTTGATCTTGAAGATATTGATCTAGGGCCATGAAATTGGCACACGATTAAGTTCCCCACCGCCCCAACTACAATTCAATTCCGTTTTTTATACCTTTTTTGGCTAAACCGGGCCTTTCTCCCCTAGCGCTGGGAGTCAGGCGTATTTCCTTTTTGCAACCAAAGAGAGGCGCTGCCCGGAGAATGCCCAATTGCATCATTAAAAAAATGGCTTACATCTCCGCGATGACCAGCTATCTTCGTGGCTTAGTAGTTAGTGTGCCGAGTGTAGCCACCTCGTAATCTAAAGGTGGCTGGCTCGTGGCCAGTCAGCCTCAAGTGTTTTAACACGCATTCGTTTTTTAAGTAGCATCTGGCCAGCCGGCAAATGTCGTGAGGGCTTATGTTCGTATCTAAGTAGCATTTGGCCAGTCGGCAACTGCCGTGAGGGGTGTACATATTTACGCGTGTTAGATTAGGTCAGGTCACGTCAGGTCAGGCTAGGTTTAATTTGGTTTTGGGTAGAAAGAAGTATCTCCGGGTAGCGCATCTCCTTGGTTGCTAAAACGAAACACGCGAGTGCCAGACATTACGAAGTCCAAAAAACAGTTACGTAGACGTCGGCCCATTCTGTATTTTTTTTTTATATGTTGTAACTAATGTATGGGAGAATAAAATATGTAAAAATAAGCAAAATCGAAGGGTACCCATTTTTCAGAAAAATCAAAATTTATTTTTTGAATTTTAATTTAGTTCATTAATTAGGTAATTACGTCAATATTGTTATCCTCAAATTAAAGCCTGATCTATTCCCTCCATTTCACACTTTGTCTCATGGTGATATGTCTAAAACTTCAATGGTTATGACGCTTTAAAGATGATAATGTGCCTTGCCTAAGTCAATGTTTAATGACGTGTATCTCGGAAACGTGACGTCATATCTTGACAAAAACATGTCTCCTTTCTTTTCACATATAGATGAGTAGTTTCCCAAAGTTTTGCAAAAATCGGAGGAGGTGAGGTTCAAAATGGCCATTTTTTGTCTCACTTGACGTGGAATGCCCCTCCAGCCTCGAGGAGCTCACGACGCATGTCAAGTCAGTCTGGATTAACTTTAAGCCTGCTATGCAGCCAAACATGCCGGTTGGCATGCCACAGCATGTGTTCATGTGTTTGCCTATTAAATGGGGAGCACATTGAGGGATCACAAATATATCAAGACGCAATGTACTCTGTTTCACATGCAAATATAATGTGAGAACGAACTTATGAGACACCCTGTATTTTCGACATAGCCCACAAATGACCTTAGGTCACCGCATGACCTTGAGAGGTCAAATGGGTATTGGGAAAGTAAGATTAGATGCTGGCGAGTCGATTGGTGCCATTTTTAGCGCTCTAGCTCTACTGGGTGGGCCACAATCTGCTGTGCAAATTTGGGCCACGTGACCTTTGCTGACCTCTGTAGGTCAAACGGCTGGGAGCGCCACCGAATGACTCGGACTGTGTATTAGGCATGTCAGGAACTATACTGTGTGCGAGTTTCAGCTTGATCGGAGGTGTCCCGAATCTGGGTTGAATCCGGGCTGCGACGTATTGAGCGTCGTTTATTTGTACATTTTGCCCTGCTGAGGTCAAACGGGTCACATATCGAGAAGCGGTTTCTAAGGAAAATTACTACGGCCTATACCGGGTGGCCCAGAAAAAACGTTCCCAACTTTAAATCAATATTTCTCAGAAAGCGATAAAGACACAACATTGAAACTTGCAATAGTCAATGCGGCATATATGCTCAGTAAATGGGATGATTTTTATGTTATTCGGTCAATTACTTTTTGAACGGTTTGTGTTTCTAGCATGCTATGTAAAAATTACTTTTTTGCTCAGATGTTTACTAAAAAATGTGAGTGAACGGGCCACTTCCATCTCGGCACCACGGCCTGCAGCCATGACTGCTACTGGCAACTAGTCTCATTGATGGTTCAGGCTTCAGGGTGACACATTCCCTCTAGCTTTTTTTCCTTATTCGGTCGATTTACTCTTTGATCTTCTTGAAGAGAAGGCGATCAGCAGTAACCCATGCACCGTGCCACTCTTTCTGCTCGAAACAGGACTTAGTGTTAAAACGAATGGCATCCATTAACAACATTTTGGCTCAGTATTTGAATATTTGGTACATAAGTGGGACAAAAATATTTAAAATGATAACACACGTGCTGGTTTCATTAATTAACATGTTCTATTTTTCTTTTCTTTTTCTGACATGGTAGGTCTAAGCCAATCATCACTACCGTTCAACATCGGCAAAAAAAGCAAAAACGTCTTACTTAATTCAACATAAGATTGTTGGTTTCGTATATCGTTGAGAGCTGCTGCGAGGAGCATGATAAATGTAGGAAGTATCATTAGAATTGTACGGTAATTGGGCGTGGTCCATGCGACGACTGCGCGTACGGTAATTGGGCGTGGTCCGGTTAAATGTACGGTAATTGGGCGTGGTCCATGCGACGACTGCGCGTGCGCGGGGCCGCGCGGCGGCTGCGCGTGCGCAGGGCGCGGTGTGCGTGCGCCTGTCTGTTAGACTGTACCGCTGTGTCATCGTCTGCGCGGGTCAGCCGGCCCGCGCGGCATTCTGAAATAGAGTGGCAAACTGAACAGCTGTGTTCCTCTACAACTGGCGACGAGGAAAACGGACAGCCAAAGGACGGGTGCTGGACAAGGCGTGGTCCCGGTCGCCGCGGACGGCTCTGGTATTGAACCCGTTGGGCACCGAGACTTCTGCTGCAGCAAAATGGGTGAGATCGAACCATTTAATCCCGATACGGATTCATGGTGTGAGTGGGAGGAACGTTTTGTGTTCCTCTTGGAAAGTAAGGAAATCACTGATGGTACCGTCAAGAGAGCTCGTTTATTGACTGCTTGTGGGAAGAAGGCGTATACATTGTTTCGCAGCTTAGTATCACCGGCTGCACTGCATGATAAATCGTTTGAAGAGCTGTTAGAAGTGATGAGAGCTCACAAAGACCCCAAGCCATCGAAAATATTGAGCAGATTTCGATTTAGCCAGTGCCATCGTGATCCGTCTCAACCTGTTGCAGACTTTATCGCCGAGCTCCGCAAGGCAGCAGAGCACTGCGAGTTTGGAGGCACACTGGAGGATCGGCTGATGGAGCAGCTGGTGTGCGGCATCGCTGACGAGCGCATCCAGAGGCACCTCTTGGCTGAGCCCCAGCTGGACTTCTCCAGAGCTCAGCAAGTCAGCCTGTCGCTCGAGATGTCGAGTAAGGACGCTCAGGTCATCGCAGGTCAGTCCGGGGGCACGGGCCACGCCACTGTCCATGCTGCTGCAGCGCAGGCGAACACAGAGCCTTGCTGGCGTTGCAATCGTGCGAATCACAGTCCAGATATATGCAGATTCCGTAACTTCAAGTGCCGAAACTGTGGCCAGTTCGGCCACATTCAGAGAGCGTGCAGGCGCCGCCCACGGAAGTCGGCCACTTCTGGGAGGCGCCGTCAGTCGGCCAACAATGTCACCGGCTCCGGCGATGAAGAGGACTGGGAGAGCTGGGTGGAAGCCGAAGAAGCAGTCGGCCAGATCCGTCGATCCACTGACACCGGCACTGCTGACGTCAGACAGGTGGGTGGCTCACTTCCGTTCACGTGTGATGTTAAACTGCAACAGACTGATGTGACAATGGAGATCGACACAGGCTCTAGGTACACTCTCATTGGAGAGAATACCTTCAGCATGTTGAACTGCAAGCCTAGGCTGAAAGAGTGTAGGGTTCAGCTACGAGCATATACACATCAGCCCATTCCTGTGCTCGGGGAATTTTGTACGTCTGTCGAGCACAATGGTATGACATACCCTGGTATGAAGGTGATCGTGGTGAAAGGCAGCAGATCCAGTCTCTTGGGCAGAGACTGGTTGGAGGCTATCCGAATCAACTGGTGCGAGGTCAAGGCGGTCTTCAACTCGGCCATCGATCAGCTGAAGGGAAAGTACCGTCAAGTGTTCGAGCCGGGTCTCTGGGAGTTAAAAGGGGTCGAGGTGAAGCTAGAGGTGGACCGTTCTGTGCCCCCCAGATTTTTCAGACCCAGATCCCTGCCGTACGTCTACAGGGAAAAGGTGGAAGAGCAGATCGACAAGGACGTCAAGGCGGGCATCCTGGTGCCGGTGCAGCACAGCCAGTGGGCTGCACCACTGGTTCCAGTGCTGAAAAAGTCTGGTGAGATCAGGGTATGTGCCAACTTCAAACTCACTGCCAACCGTGCCGTCAAACTGGATCAGTATCCCTTGCCGCTCGTTGAGGATCTTTTTGCTCAGTTAGCGGGAGGAGTGATTTTCTCGAAGATTGATCTGGCACAAGCTTACAACCAGATTCCCATTCATAAAGATTCGATGGATGTTTTGACGATAAGTACGGCTAAAGGGCCCATGTCCTACACTCGCTTACCATTTGGAATATCAGCTGGGCCAGGGATATTCCAACGAGAGATTGAAAAGGTGTTGAGCGGCATGCCATCTGTTGCCGTGTACCTCGATGACATTTTGGTGAGCAGTAGGTCCACTGAAGAGCACCTGAAGACGCTGGACGAGGTCCTCCGCCGCTTGCAAGAAGCTGGACTGAAGGTACGTGCATCCAAGTGTCAGTTCATGATGCAAAACGTGGAGTATTTGGGGCATCTGATCGACAGGAATGGCATCAGACCGACGCCAGCCAAAGTGAGAGCTATCAGGGATGCTCCAGTTCCTAAAAGTGTCAAGGAGCTGCTAAGTTTTCTCGGAATGGTGACCTACTACGCAAAGTATCTGCCCTCCCGTGCTGACAAGTTGGCCCCGTTGTACGAGCTCCTCCGGAAAGATTCCAGATGGCGCTGGGGTACCGAGCAGGAGAAGAGCTTCCAGTGGGCGCGGAACGCCCTGACGTCGGACTCATTTCTGGCGCACTACAGGAGTGGCCAGCAGCTCGTCTTGGTCTGTGACGCCTCTCCCGTCGGCATCGGCGCGGTGCTGGCGCATCGAGAGGCTGACGGATCAGAGAGGCCTTTGGGGTATGTATCGCGTACTCTGACAGAGTCTGAGCGCAGATATGCACAGATTGACAGAGAAGCTCTAGCCATTGTGTTCGGCGTGTGCAAATTTCACAACTATCTGCTCGGGAACCGTTTTAAGCTGGTAACAGATCACAAGCCGCTGTTACGACTGTTCGGAGAACATCAGGACTTACCGACCATGACCTCTGCTAGGATCAGACGGTGGGCGCTGAAGCTGTCGACATACAGTTACAGCGTTGAGCACAGACCGACTGATCGCATGGGAAATGCCGACGCTCTGTCCCGTCTTCCGTTACCTTTAGGCAAATCAGGTGAACCGGAAGAGCTGGTCTTGATGGTGGACAGTCGCGTAATCGACGCAAAAAAGATAGCCCGACTCACAGCTACGGATCGGACGTTGAGCAGAGTGCTGCAGAGTGTGCAGTATGGTGATTGGTGTGAAGGTGACGATGTGCCAAAATCATTTACCGACAGGAAACTGGAGCTGTCAGTCACCGCAGGCGTCCTCATGTGGGGACACCGTGTCATCATTCCAGAGAGGGCACAAGGCGAGGTACTGGCCGAGCTACATGCTGCCCACCCCGGGATGAGGCGCATGAAGGCGCTGGCACGAGGCTACGTCTGGTGGCCGGGCATCGATGCCGCCATCGAGGAAGTCGTGCGGAGCTGCCAGCCATGCCAGGAGAGCCGCCCAGCACCGGACCGCGCACCGCTGAGTATGTGGCCCTGGCCGGACCGCCCGTGGTCCAGGATTCACATTGATTACGCTGAGCCGGTAAGAGGACGATACGTATTGGTTGTGGTGGACGCTCACTCAAAATGGGTAGAGGCTGAACTGTGTCACAGTATTGGCTCGAGGACCACCATTGTTCAATTGAGAAAAATGTTTTCACGCTGGGGCCTTCCTGATGTTCTCGTGTCAGACAATGCGACAGCATTTACTTCTGAGGAGTTCCAAGAGTTTTTGCGTGGGAACGGCGTAGAGCACAAAACGATAGAACCAGGACACAGTCAGGGGAACGGTTTGGCAGAGAGGATGGTGAGAGAAGTGAAGCTGGCGCTGCAGCGCTCTGGCGGGGGACAATGGGATCTGTGTCTCGCAAATTGGCTCCTTCATCAACACATTGTCCCTCAGTCAACAACTGGTGTTCCGCCCGCAGAGCTGATGCTTGGCAGGAGGCTGCGGAGTAAGCTGGACCTTCTACGGCCGAGCATCCGGGCGACGGTGGTCAAAGGTCAAGTGAGCCAAAAACAAAACCATGACGGTAAGCGTACGCTTCGCACTTTTGACATAGATGACCAGGTTTATGCAAGAAATTTCTCAGTGGGTCGTCCTTGGGTACCCGGCTTTATCTGTGCGATCGATGGACCGGTGTCGTATGTGGTACGATTAGAAGACGGGAGATGCTGGAGACGTCACATCGATCAACTTCGTGAAAGAGGACGAGAGCCAAAAGAGATCGATCTCCAGGTCGATGAACTGAGACGCCGACCCCTGTCCACAGGATATCGTCAGCTACCTGACCTGAGCCGGAGCGGAGAGGTGACATCTGGCGGCGGCGCTGAGGGAGCTCACTCTGGCTGGCTACCGGCTGCCGCCGACGCTGTTCAACGGCCGCCCGCCGCGGCGCTCGTTCGGCCGCCGGCACCTGGTGCTGCCGTTGGGTCGTCTGCCGAGCCGCCTGCTGGGTCGTTTGGCGAGCTGGCTGGTGTTGCTGCTGGGTCGTCTGCTGAGCCGACTCAGCGCGAGGTCTCGGGCGCTGCCGTTCCGTCATCGCCGCTATCTGGCCGAGTGCCGCTGTCGCAATCTCAGCGGACGGCGCCGGCGCCATTGTCGCGGCCCGATGACGCGTCTGTTTCTACGGGCAACCGCAGTGAGCTCGCGCGTCGCTATCCGGTTCGTGTGCGGAACAAACCAAACTTTTACGTGGGAAAGTAATGTACGGTAATTGGGCGTGGTCCATGCGACGACTGCGCGTGCGCGGGGCCGCGCGGCGGCTGCGCGTGCGCAGGGCGCGGTGTGCGTGCGCCTGTCTGTTAGACTGTACCGCTGTGTCATCGTCTGCGCGGGTCAGCCGGCCCGCGCGGCATTCTGAAATAGAGTGGCAAACTGAACAGCTGTGTTCCTCTACAAGAATATATGACCTTCTCGGAAAATGACCAAATGAATGAAAATGATTATTTATTGATGAATTGATGATATTTCGGTCACAGACCTTCGTCTAAAAGACGAAGGTCTGTGACCGAAATATCATCAATTCATCAATAAATAATCATTTTCATTCATTTGGTCATTTTCCGAGGAGAAGGTCATATATTCTAATGATACTTCCTATAAGATTGTTGGCTTGAAAATGATGGTACAGTGTTATAATTTGGCATACCAATGCGCAAAGAAGTGACGCAAACGTGATGAAAATTTTGGCTCGTTAGTTGCACTCAAATTTGAGATATACATAGGCCTCCAAAGTTCGGAACGTTTTTTTCTGGGCTACCCGGTATGATACCCGATGATGTGCTTTGATTTGGGATTCGGTCAATCGCTCTACTCGCGAACTGCTGTGCAAGTGTATTTTCGACATAGCCCACAAATGACCTTAGGTCATCGCATGACCTTGAGAGGTCAAATGGGTATTGGGAAAGTAAGATTAGATGCTGGCGAGTCGATTGGTGCCATTTTTAGCGCTCTAGCTGTACTGGGTGGGCCACAATCTGCTGTGCATATTTGGGCCACGCGACCTTTGTTGACCTCTGTAGGTCAAACGGCTGGGAGTGCCACCAAATGACTCGGACTGTGGATTGGGCATGTCAGGACCTACATTGTGTGCGAGTTGTAGCTTGATCGGAGATGTCCCGAATCTGGGATGAATCCAGGCTGCGACTATGGAGTGTCGTATATTTGTTAAGAACTGTTAAAAATTTGCAAAGACCGTGCCTCAGGCTATCCAGAGCCGTCCGTAAGTCACATGACCTAACCCGCTCACCTGACCGTGACACTTGCGAAGGCGCCAGGGGCAATGTTTGGCAGGCGTAACTCGCACCTGAACGTGTTGTCTACTATGATAGAAACTCTTTGACAAAGCGTCATCGCGTTTAAGTCATGGTGAAGACTGGAATGATGTAGGGAGTCAAATCGAATCCTCTGTCCTAATCCCAATCGAAAACCTATGGGGAATCGTGAAGGAGGAGCTCAGCAAGATTGAACCAGCTCCCACAGAAAACGGACTTTAGAGGAACCTGTGAAAGGTGTGGCTTAACACACGCTAGACATCTTGATATATGGGATGCCAAAGCGAATGAGGGAATGGGTAGGACAGGGCAGGGGATAAATCGCTAAAGAAACCATGACCCGGGGGCTCTTTGTTTATTAATTATGGCGGCGAGCTGATGGAGGGGCAACTAATCTCCAGACACCCTGTAGACTTTCTTGAGCAGGCTGCAGGTATACCGGGTGGCCCAGAAAAAACGTTCCGAACTTTGGAGGCCTATATATCAAGTTTGAGTACAAATAACGAGCCAAAATTTTCATCAGGTTTGCGTCATTTCTTTGTGCATTGGTATGCCAAATTATAACACTATACCATCATTTTCAAGCTGGCAATCTTGAGTTGAATTAAGCAAGACGTTTTTGCTTTTTTTGCCGATGTCAAACGATAGTGATGATTGGGTTGGACGTCCCATGTTATAAAAAAGAACAAAAAATAGAGCACGTGAATGAAACCAACAGAAACTGGTTCTTATTTTAATTTTGTTGTCTCACTTAGTTATGTGCCAAATATTCAAATACTGAGCCAAAATGATGCTCATGGATGCCATTCGTTTCAAAACCAAATCATGTTTCGAGCAGGAGTGGCACGGTGCATGGATTACTGCTGATTACCCTCCTTCCAGTAGATCAAACAGTAAACCGACCGGATAAGGAAAACAAACTAAAGCAGACTGGTTCCTGTGCCAGAAGACCACAGAATAGCTTATGAAAAAACAACATTGCCAGCAGATGACAACAAAAAAAAACTGGTTGAAAGCTACCTTTTCCCGGGAATGTCAGCCAGGAAAGCATTTGAGCCACAAGATGGCTAGAAAACTGGAAACTTCTTCCGATGCCACTGGCACAGAGCCATCATGGTTGCCTGAGGGAATGTGTCATCTTGAGACCCGAACCATCAATGAGACTAGCTGCAGAAGTCATGGCTCTAGGTCGCGGTGCCGCGGGGTGAAAGTGACCCGTTCACTCACATTTTTTAGTAAACATCGGAGCAAAAAAGTAATTTTTACATGACATGCTTGAAACACAAACCGTTTAAACAGTAATTTACCGAACACCATGAAAATCACACCATTTACTGAAAATGTGTGCCGCATTGACTATTCGAAGTTTCAATGTTGTATCTTTATCACTTTCTGAGAAATATTGATTTAAAGTTGGGAACGTTTTTTTCTGGGCCACCCGGTATGTATGGGTGGATAGTTTAGTACGTCCACGGTCCAACCGACTCAGCTTCCGGTTCGACAAGGCTCAATGGAAAGGTGTAGGGGAGAGTGGGGCACTTTCGAGCATGGGACATTTCGTTTTCAGCAGTTTATCTGAAAACGAGTGACTGCACGAGACCAAGGTAAATTATGAAAATATGCCTATCATTGCCGCCCCTCGTGTACTGTAGAAGACAACACTGTACCTGCTGTCATGTTTGATAAACACGCAAAGTTGTAATGTTCGTGCGCTTTCCAAACTTTTCTCATAACATCCATTTTCGTGATCCTGACTCGGAAATGTGGCTCAGCTTTTCAAAATTGGGGGCGAAGAAGCTCACTCTATTCACGGAACTGCTTCAAACTTGTTTATTGAAAAAGTTTCATTTTTCAACACATTTCTTTTTATTATATTTTACAAATAACGTGGTGGGGAAGGATCGTGCACGCATTGCCTAGGGGCACATTTGTGCATATTTTTTTCGTTTTCGCGATTTATGACTTTATCTGTAGTAGGTTTCACTTATGACGCTCGCTTGACTCAGTCTCGACTGCTTGCGACGTCGTGACAAGTACATAATTCACGCGACCTTGGTAAGGTCGCGTGGGCCGATGGTCGGCAGTTGGCACATTCTTGTTGGCCAGCCCATTCTTTCTACATTTGTTGTGCAATGCATTCTTGTCGAAAGGAATCAAGTGAAATGACCCCCTGTCAATTTTTGTTGGTAAATTTCTGGTAATGCCCGGTAATTGTTCGAACTTTGCAGGGCGCACGAAAGTGCCCCACCCCTTGCACGAATGTGCCCCATACCTGGGGCAGGTTCGTGCAAACGTTCAGAGTTATTAAAAGTCATTTTTTTCTACTGGAAGCGATAATTTCATAGGATAACTTTTAAGAGGAAAATATTTGCAATAGGTCTTTTCCATACTACAATCAACAATTTTGTCATTGCACCAACCAAAGAAGAGATCAATGGATTTATCTTTTTTTTGCACGAATGTGTCCCTCTCTCCCCCATAACCGAGGGGCGCTATGCGCTGCAGTAGAAGGGCATGTGGGCACGTGGAAGGTGCCTGCAGTGCCAGTCCGACTCAGACTCACCGCCATGTTGCAGCAGTGGTGCTGGGCCTGATTGCCAGATAGCCAGTCCGATGCGAGTCGGTTCGTAGGTATTAGCGCTGTCGTGCACAGCACTCCAACTGAACAGTACAGCGCATCATCTGGAAACAGAAACGCATGTCTGCATAACAGTGTACCATTATCAATTGAAGCAGTATCATTTGTAGCCAAACTACCGAAGGCTCTGGAAATTTTTGGTCACATTAGGTGTAAAATTGGTGCCCAGGGAGGGCCTGAAAGTTTGGTGGCGAGTGGCGATATCTGCTATACATAGGTATTTCGGTGCTCCACGACTTCCGCGCCGGGCCGGGGAACGGGGGGGGGGGGTGTCTGAACACCCCCCCCGTCTAATTCGGCTCCTGGGCCACGTAGTGACACGCGGTAAGCGGCATTCGAAAGAGCGTAAAAAATAATGACGGAAACACTTCGATCATTTTTGGGTCAGGTCAAAGGTCAGGTCACCAGAGGTCACCAAAGGTCAAATGTTCACTATTTCAACATTTTGGAAACTGCCAACGGCTATCTCGGGAACCGATAGAGCTACAGCGCCGCGGAAAAGCGCATTCGATAGCCCTTTTACAGACCTTGCTGAGTGATGTTCTTCGATTTGACCTCAGGTCAACGGTTTAGCCTCCAGAGGGCAAAAACTCCAAAAATAGCCGTTTTTACGAAAAACGTTTTTTCGGTAAATAACTTTTGACTCAAAAGAGCCATGACATTACTTTTGCCAGCATCGTGTTCCTCTCGTCGAGACGCGTCGAATGAACTGTAATTTGACCTTGAAAGGTCAACTTGAAAATTTGACCTCAGGTCAAGGTCATGACCTGACCGGAAAAGGTCATGTTGCATATCAGTCGATCCGCAACGTCGAGCCGAACACATCTAAGGCGTTTTCAGCGCTCTAGCACGTCTCTATCAGAAGTTATTAGCGAAAAACTGTTGGATTCTGTTCGTGACCTGAGATGACCTCGGGGACATAACGAGGGGTCACAGTTGCCATTTTCCGGTTCAGTGTGTCCATTTTACCTACATCTCGATGTTTGAGAGTGTCTAGAATAGCGTTCGTGCAAAACAGACTCTTTTCAATTTTCTCCCATTGACTTATAATGGAGAGGTCGCAAAATTGACCTGACCTTAGGTCACCGATATCAAAATTCCGAGATATACATTCCGAGATGATGTTGCTCTAATCAATCGCTGAAAGTTTCAAGGCAATCGATCAATCGGTGTAGCTATGACGAGCATTCTTATTTTTTCTGAGGTGAGGTCACTTGGCGTGACCTGGTGACCTGACCTAAGGTGACCTGGGTCTGAAATTTTCACAACATGTGCGGATTAGATGAACAAACAGCTGTGCCAAAAAATGGCGGCGCTCCGCGCCGCCGTTTTTGAGATATCTGCGAAAAACCACAGGGGGGGGGGGGGGTGTTCAAACACACACCCCCGGCCCGGCGCGGGTTAAGAGCTTCATTTTACCACCCATGCTAGTGCTACCGATTTGATAATGTCTGCCTACTTTACCTACTTTGTACCTACTTTATGCATCTTTTCCGCACATGTTGTGAAAATTTCAGACCCAGGTCGCCTTAGGTCAGGTCACCAAGTCACGCCAAGTGACCTCACCTCAGAAAAAAATAAGAATGCTCGCCCTAGCTACACCGATTGATCGATTGCCTTGAAACTTTCAGCGATTGATTAGAACAGCATTATCTATAAAATTTATATCTCGGAATTTTGATATCGGTGACCTAAGGTCAGGTCAATTTTGCGGCCTCTCCATTATAAGTCAATGGGAGAAAATTGAAAAGCGTCTGTTTTGCACGAACGCTATTCTAGACACTCAAACATCGAGATGTAGGTAAAATTGACACACTGAACCGGAAAATAGCAACTGTGACCCCTCGTTATGTCCCCGAGGTCATCTCAGGTCACGAACAGAATCTAACAGTTTTTCGCTAATAACTTCTGATAGAGGCGTGCTAGAGCGCTGAATACGCCTTATATGTGTTCGGCTCGACGTTGCAGATCGACTGATATGCAACATGACCTTTTCCGGTCAGGTCATGACCTTGACCTGAGGTCAAATTTTCAAGTTGATCTTTTAAGGTCAAATTATAGTTCATTCGACGCGCCTCGACGAGAGGAACACGATGCTGGCAAAAGTAATGTCATGACTCTTTTGAGTCAAAAGTTATTGGCGAAAAACCACTTTTCGTAAAAACGGCTATTTTTGGAGTTTTTGCCCTCTAGAGGCTAAACCGTTGACCTGAGGTCAAATATGAGATTATTAGCCAGAAAGGTCTGTAAAATGGCTATCGAATGCGCTTTTCCGTGGCGCTGTAGCTCTATCGGTTCCCGAGATAGCCGTTGGCAGTTTCCAAAATGTTGAAAACCTTTGGTGACCTCTGGTGACCTGACCTTTGACCTGACCCATAAAAATGACCGAAGTGTTTTCGTCCTTAGTTTGGACGTTCTTTCGATTGCCGCTTACAGCGTGTCGCTACGTGGCCCAGGAGCCGAGTTAGAAGGGGGGGGGGGGTGTTCAGACACCCCCGGCCCGGCGCGGAATCTCAGAGCACCGGCCCGGCGCGGGTTAATAAAATAACTTGGGATAAGTTGCAAGTAGGTATACCACATGGCCTTCACTTCGTTTTATATGAATATTGAATAAGCCTTGGTTGAATAATATTAAAGAATCAACGAAAGGATGACTTTCAAAATTTTTGAGTACTCACGTTTTTGGGACGACGAGTTTCTTGAAATATTCTAATGTTACATAGCTATAATTTTCGTTTGAATAACCTAAATTAAATGATAATGATGCACTTGAAAGGAAATATGTAAAACTTTATTGCTGTATATAGACGTCACCACCACTACTCAGACGAGCTGTAAAATCGTAGGCGCGTGACAGAATTACGTCGGTATGCGCTGAGCACGTGACGTATATATCAGAAGTATTCGCTGCTTTATTACGAGCGAGCGGCTAAGAGTCTTTCAGTATATTCATTATTATCTTATCCATGCCTATATTACGGAAAAATCTCATTGCACAGTATTTTATTTATTTATTTATTTATTTACATCGTGTGCTCATCCCTGAAATCATGGCCTAGGCCATAGGGCTATTCTTAAGCACGAGTCAGAACACATTGAAAAACCAAGATAAAAACATTCACGCAAAAGCATTCACATGACATTCTCACATACAGAATAAGAATACTCAGGTCGATTCCGATGAAAGCATGGTAAGATCAGGACTCGTTCGATAAGTGCTGTCAACCATTCAGGTGGCGACACTGGCGGTCGCAGCCGCTAGCAAAAGGGGGGGCCAAAGTCACACTCGCGGGACATAACATTTATCCGTCACCGGAGGGGGGGGGGGGGGGGGGAGTGATCGGCTAATTTTTTACGTCCACGAGGCGCCGCGTGGTTGGCATTACTTATGCTTCATCCATCTCATCCTTGCGTGATATCTTTAAGCTCAATGTAAGGCAAAATCACCAGTTCCATTTCTCGTCCCACGGTGTTTCCACCGGTCAGGCCACTGCACGGTGCACCATGACGACGGATCGGTGTAGCATATGCTGGAAGGTCGGGCACGCGGATGCATGACCTTACCACTATACTCGTAAAACAATTCGGAAAAGTACAGATACCCGTATTCACGTCGACATCTTACGTCGAACAACATGCATTACATATTCACGTCGACATTCACGTCGACATCTTACGATCAGTTTTCATCGTACGATCGATTTGGTATTCATGTTGACCATCTTAACTTTTTATCGTACGATCAGTCTGGATGTTTAGGATACTTCTAATTCACGTTGACAATCTTAAGATAATTTGGTATTCATGTCAAAAGTCCTAGGATTCATCCTACGATCCAACTTAAGATGTCGTAGCAGTTCCGAAGATTTGATTTTAGCAGCATATTCCGGGACGACATAGAAAATGGATCCTCCGTCAAATGATACAGCAAACGAAATATATTCAAACATTTATTAGTGAGCTATTCTTAACATTATAAAAGTACCACAGATTTAGTATGCTTTAAAGTTAATATGGAAATTATTTTACCATTAGGTATTATGGAAACTATATTATTATATTACAAATGATCATATGAAGAATAAATCGATAAAACATGCATTTTAACCCTCGCCGGCACAGGGTTGATGCAACCCCCATAAGGTTTATCGGGAATAACTCGCGTAAAAAGCGGCCGATCGCGACGAAACTTTCAGTGCCCTCGCATTGATCAATTTTACACCTACCGTGAAAATTTCATGACCCTGACCCAAATGACCTTTGACCTGTGACTTTTTTTCCGAGACCATGTTTGGCCGGAATCGCGATTCGGCGTATGTCGGCTCGCATTAGCCGCGCGTTTGCAATCTTTTCGTGGTTTCAAACGTTCAAACATGTGATTTGATGTTGCTCCCATGCATTAGGGTGGGTGTCAAGATCACCTGAAGGTCAGGTCATTGACCGTTGGTGACCTCGGTTCACTTGTTCGAGTTTTACATGTTCCTAGGCTAGTTTTTGGAGCTGAATTCGAATTTAGCAACCATCTGAACATTAACGAAGTAGTTTTGGTGCCTTCGTAATATGTTACGAAGCTGTCAGAGGCGGATGACAGGTACTACTAATACCCGTCACGACCCCTACCGGTTGACCTGACCTGACCTGACCCGACCTGGTCTAAATGCTTAACCCGCGCATGACTGGGGGGGGGGGCTCTACAGAGCCCCCCTCCCGTTTTTCAGCAATATTTTCTAAACCGTTTGACGGATCAACACGAAACTTGCGGTACCTTCAGAGGCATCAATTTGACACCTTGTGGTAAAATTTCAACTTTCTAGCTACTACAGTTTGGCCGGAAATGACGTCAGAGTGACGTCATGTCGGCCGATTTTCATGCAAAATACTGAATTACGGCAAACGCTCTCAAGAGCTCAGTTTTAGAGCTAGATCCATTTTCTTTGCATGAGTGAACTACAAATACACGTAGCTATCGAACTGCTATCTCGAATTTTCGAAATTTTGAAAATTTTGAAAAATATGTATTTACAATTACAGATTTTTCAAAAAGTTTTTGACTTTTCGCAAAAACCGGAATATATGTGGTAGAACACACACTGATGAACTACATTTGCAAGTTTTAGCCCAATGTCTTCAAAAATAGCCAAATTATTCGCATTATTGTCAAAATTTTACAATGTTATGTTTTTTTCAAATCCATTTTTCAGTACGTTTTTGACGTCTTACAGCAATATAAATGGCACCATCGTGTTCTTGAGCTCAAACTGCATCTGATAGGCACCTTTTTGTTGAAAAATTTCATTCTTAAAAATTTGACCTTTTCTGACCTGAAAGTGACCTGACCTCCGGTAAATTCAGCTGCCAATGACCTCAAATGACACAGACGACACTATTTTCGAAATCTACGAGTAAAATGGACCATAAAACATGCGTCACGTGACCGATACATGATATACAATTTTCGTGACCTAGGATGACCTGGCCTTGACCTTAAAAATTCGAAGTAAAAGTTCGGTACCCTCAGGGTATCTAAGGCATCCGTCAAGGAGTGCGTAAACCAAAAATGAGCCTGATCGGACTGGCGGTCCGGCGGTCAGAGCCTAACTTGTGAACTAGCAAAAATGTCGATAATTTTTACTTTGACCTGATATTCGAAACTGCTATTCCAGTTCAAAACCCCATGTTAAAAGTGAGCTATTTCCTTTAATATTGTTCAATGAAATGTGGTAGATATTCATTTTTGCTCAATCTCCAGGTACCATGCAACACTACTTCTATGCCAGTTCATTAACTTTTTTGAAGGTGGGAGGGTCCTTTTAAGCACGAACCATCCTACTAGTCGGTCCCTAATGGTGCACCAAATTTGAGCGCATGTGCAATTTTGCGCGTGCGCACGTGCCAATTGCGTCACAATTGACTTTTGCTCGGCACCCTCCTAAGCGATTCCTAAAGGTGTACCAAATTTAAGCGCAATCGGCCCAGCCGTTCTCGAGATCCGGAAGCGGCCTCTTGCGCGTGCGCAAGTGCGAAGTGCGAACAGGGTCACAATTGACTTTTGCTCGACAACCTCCTGAGCGATTCCTAAAGGCGTACCAACTTTAAGCGCAATCGGCCTAGCCGTCCTCGAGACCCGGAAGCGGCCTGCTGCACGCGCGCACGTGCAACCGGAGTCACAAATGACATTTGCTCGGCACCCTCTTAAGCGGTTCCTAAAGGTGTACCAAATTTGGGCGCAATCGGCCTCGCCGTTTTCTATATATGGAAGCGGCCTCCTGCACGTGCGCACGTGCAAACGGGGTCCCAAACGACTTTTGCCCGGCACGCTACTAAGCGGTCCCTACCGGTGTGCCAATTTTGAGCGCAATTGGTCCAGCCGTTCCCGAGATCTAGGAGCGACCAGTGACCACTGCACGTGCGCACGTGCAGTAGTACCCCTAACGTGACACATGAAAATGCATTGCCCGATGAGTGCCTACCCACATGCCAAGTTTCAGCGCTATGAGCACGATAATTGCATAGTTATTGTAATTGACACAAACATGACATCTCTTTATTATGCACGTGGCACGTGCAGCCATGGTTGGTCACCCACATGCATCGAGAAAAGTCGTGTCCTCGGCAAAATGGATGAAAATACCCTACAAACATATTTCCTAGTAAATCGATCCTGTGCTTACACAGACATAATCCTCTCAAAAACGTACATTCAGCAGAACGACTTTGGGTTCTGAGTTGACACCCTTGGCTTCGCAAGAGCCACATGACACGGCGATCACCCAGGTGCATCAAGAGTAGTCAATTACGAGGTAGGAGGGATGGGGCTACCAAACAAAAAAGACCGCGGTTCAATCGGCCCAGCGGTGGCCGAGATAAAAGCTTCTCAAAAGCGTTATAGGGCGGGCCGGTCCGAGCTGTACCGCTCATACTGATATTTTCCCGTTACATTGAAAACTCTTTTCCGCGCTCGCTCGCAAGAAAAAAAATCATAAACAGCAATTTCAATACCTAAATATACAATTCATAAGCATAGGTGACGTCTTACGACAGCTCAGTGAGTAGTCGTATCTTCACAATACCTTCATCATTAAGGTCTTACGATCATCTTAAGATTCGACTTAAGATGTCCCGACGTGAATCGCACTTACGATCGATCGTACGACAAATGTCTACGACCAAAATTTTGATCGTAAGATAAATCTTAACTGTTTGCGATGCCAACGTGAATACCAAATCATCGTACGACAAAGAGCGATCGTAAGATAAATCTTACGAAAAATTCCGACGTGAATACGGGCCCAGTTCCATTTCTCGTCCCACGGTGTTTCCACCGGTCAGGCCACTGCACGGTGCACCATGACGACGGATCGGTGTAGCATATGCTGGAAGGTCGGGCACGCGGATGCATGACCTTACCACTATACTCGTAAAACAATTCGGAAAAGTACAGATACCTCTTGCTTTGAACAAGCATGTGAAACCCAGAGAGCATTTTCAGACTATGACATTTACCAATAGGTATAGTTGTGTGGCGGCGGGAGAAAGTTGGTAGACCGACCTCTGGAGACCCCCACAGGTTCCTGGTTTTCAAAATTATTGGCATCTGAGGGCCGCGCGCCTTCTGCGGGGCTTCGCAACGGCTCTATTGGGGCTCACTCAACCTGCCTAGTCCTACTGCTAAAAAGACTGGCCCTGAGCCCTAAGGACTTCATCAGTCACTGCCAGCCCCAGGACCCATACCGGCTCATGGGGCCCCGACGTCGAAATAGGAGGGAATCTGCGCGGGACCATCCGGACGTAAAGTAACCTCGATCAGGACCAACGTAAGGCTGTGCAGGAGTCTGC